CACGTTTTAAACAGCTACAATTCACATGCACAGAAGAGATTTATACGTATAGAAATAGTTTGTATGTACACAGTTTCTACCAAAAAAAAAATAGTTTTAATCCAGCACATGATAATAAGTGGTTAATATAAGGAAAGTCAGATAAGCAAAAATCTTAAGAATTGTAGGCTATTATTAAAAGTGATGTTCATGTTAGAATTATGGTGGTTCCTTTTTTAACCATTTCTGTTAGATTAAACTCTAAATATTTAAGTTTTTAAACAAACAGCACACAAACATTTATGTCTGCGGACACTTACAAAAACAAACCACAAAGATGAATAGTATAGTTTTAATCCAGCACATGATAATAAGTGGTTAATATAAGGAAAGTCAGATAAGCAAAAATCTTAAGAATTGTAAGCTATTATTAAAAGTGATGTTCATGTTAGAATTATGGTGGTTCCTTTTTTAACCATTTCTGTTAGATTAAACTCTAAATATTTAAGTTTTTAAACTAACAGCACACAAACATTTATGTCTGCGGACACTTACAAAAACAAACCACAAAGATGAATAGTACATAGATGTCTAAATCTCTCAAAGCTTAAAGTTGCTTTTCAATTTTCCAGTGCTCAAGAAGTGTCAACTGGATGGATTTGTCAATGGAAAATATTTTTAAATCACTCAGTCTATTTTGCAACAGATATACAATGTGGGTTTCTTACATGTAAATTCAGTAAATATGTATATTAAAAATAAATACATTTTTTAATTACTGGTAACTTTGCCAAATAGTGCAAAAGTGGTGCTGGAAATTCTTCCCTTCTTCACAGCAAATTCATAAGACATTTTACAAAGTGAGTAATGTAGAATCATTTCCACAGTTTTCTGAGAAGGAAAACCAGAAAGTTTTGGGGCCTTTTGCTGTCAACAGGAGTAAAGGCTATCAGTAATTATGAAGCTATTGGAAAACAAAATTATAGTCCCCACTGGGGTGCCAGTATTTCAGTAAGTAAAAGATGTGTCTTCCGAGCCAAGCTTTGGCATGATTTGCCGATTTTCCTTGTTTCTCAATGGAGAGCCATGTCCAAATACTCAACTTGGCTGTCTGCTGCAGTTAGTCAGTTTCTGACCGCTTTGATGCTTTTGTGCTTTCTATTGAACTAGCCAGAAGTCCCAATAATTAAAATTATAATTACCCAGAATAATAGGCACTTTAACCATATAATTGGGAAGGTAAAGTGCTAGGGCTGAAATATTTCATGCGATTTCATATCCTGAGTAGAGAAAGAAATCCTCTAAGAAAGTGGAGATGGTATTTTCAGATCCCAAAATACCAGTTAAGCTAAAATTTCATTTATGATGAGTTTCAGAGAGAGTGTTATTTCCTTTGGAGGAGAGAAGAGCAATGGCATTTTTTTTAAAAAATGCAACATTGTTCACATCTTACATTTTAAAAGGATTCATCTCCATGACAGAAAATAAAACTGATTAAACTATAAATCTATTCACGAGATACGTGCTGCCCTCAAAAATTTTCAGACTAACTAACTAGACTTAAAGAGAAAATGCGTGTGGTAGCAAAGTCTATCCCCTTTTATTTGTCCAGATCAGTGCCCACATGCCCAATTTAGGTCAAGGCATCGGGCAGAGGAAAGGACTGGAGACTGACATTGAGATGCTCTATTTCACACACTTGCCCTCTGGAAGGACTGGCAGAAGCAGTCACTTAAATTAAATGCAGGTCATCAAACAAGATACATAACCTATTCCTAAAACAGACAACTTCAGCATCCCGAATCCCTATGGCCTTTTACTGAGGCACATTGCTCTACTTCTTCATGTTCCTCTGTCAATTCACGTTAGGGTTTGCTTTGTTTAAAAGTGGTATTTCATGTATTCTGTGACCCTCTTGCTCAAAGCAAAGAAATTGCTTTGGTTTATTTATGACCTACTAACCTTAAGCGAAACTAAAATACTTAATGTTCCCGCAAGCCTAGGGATGAGAAATAAAAGCTAAAATCAATCTGGCCTTGATGCAGATTGGTTTTATCCTACCCACACAACCTTCCAAAATTAGGAAGAAGGTGATAGAAGGGTATTTGTCCATAAATGACCTATTGCTTGAGGCTTTATTCATTCTAGGAAAACTATGCAAGAATGCAGACCTGCTACCACCAATTTAGAGTTCTGGAATTATGAACAGTGTGCTCTAAAAGACAAACAAACAAACAAACAAACAAACAAATACCCTGCAGACTTTCCTACAGAAAACATAAAACCTCTGTTCTATTGAATTTCAATATTTTAAAGCTAAAAGATTTATACCCAAAGATTAAGTTATGGAAATAAAGATGTGGAAGAGATAGAATTAAAATATACCAGGGAGTGATTGAAAGGCCACATGAACTAATAGAAAACTAAAATGAACCAGCTAGTAGAACAATTTTTCTATATGAGACCAAAATAATTTTGAACATAGAGCCCTGAGGTTTATTCTCTTCTCTGACACAAGGATAATTGTAAGAAAGACCACAGGGATCCTATTTCCTGTTGTGCAGAATTTAGGCTGTTAAGAGGTGAAGTTTTATCTTCAGCAAACTATGACTTTATGAAACATGCATCCAGATTAGTCCAGGGAAAGAAGAAAGAATTAAGAAAAAAGAACATTGAATGTCTTGTCATTTCCACATAAAATAGCAATAGTTTTTTCTTATTGTTATAAGAAAAACATTACATGATTTGATTCATATATCAAATCATGTATGAATCATTATATGATTTTTAAGAATTTTAAAGTTAGAGTTGCTTATACTTAAGATTTTTATTTTAAGAATTTAATAATTTTAGGTTTATCATAATTATATGCTGTAATGGACTTCTAGGAGAGTATTTTGGAAAACAAATAATAACATGGTTATGCATTGCAATTAATTTTAACTGCCCTAGAGATTTGCTTATTAGTAGGCCAAATGCATATTTTGTGTTAAGGCAAAACACACGGTTTAGTGTCTTTTATCGCAGCGTCCCTATTATACAAATGTCAGCAGATGTAGTGAGAGATGAATAGGCGTGATTGAAAGCAGCTGCATATTGACCTGACACTAATACCACAATAGACGGGCAGCAGAACAGGAGTGATACGCCTTTAGCTGTAATTGATAATGCAAACAAACGAGCCCTCAGTCCCACGATGATGTTCTTTCCAGCAGCAACACAGAAATGCCTCCTGATAAAGCATTCTTCTAAAGAGTTGTATTCTGTAGGAAAAAATCGCTTAATTAAAAAGAATTAAACACTGCAAAATTCAGATTAATCACTGCTTTATCTTTTATGCCTATTTGTCTCTTCGGTATATACTTCCAATAGATCGCTAACCCCTGTTTCCCCCCAAACAATCAGTTAGAGAAAGTTTCCATGTAAACAATTTGTCTAAAAGGTATTAAATAATTACTGGATTTAAAATATTCTAAATTAAAGAAATGTCAGAATGTGTAAAAAATTGGAATACATATTTTACTAATATTTCAAGAAGAATTGCCGTGATTCGAATAGAATTGAATGATCAATCTGCAAAGTAGTATATTGTGGTTTGTCTCATCCATAGATAAGTATAACCATGTCGGATGCCAGTTAAGGATTTGAAATAGCGACTTTCTACCCTTGTCTTGATACATCTAAAGTGACTTTTGTTTTACTCGATAATAGAAAATGAATGAAGATGGTTCTAAAAATATATTCATTAGAGTTCACAATAATTTAAAAATAAGACTTAATGATGAAACACTCTTAGAGAAGAGGGATATAAAAAGAATCCTCTAGCCACTCATCCATAAAAAGGTGCCAGGAGTTTCAAATCAAAAACATTTAGAAATGAATCGTTTTGTAGCAAATATAGATTGCATTTACCTTTCACTGTATTAATGAAATCTTGGTGCTGTAAACTAAAAAAAAATGGGTTGAGCTGGTTTCTTCATTTAAAATTTGTTCACCGTTTTCTAAATAAGAACTTTTTAAAGAAATTATGCTAATTAAAAACCCTATTTAGAATAAATTATATCAAATATATAATATAAATATAAAAGTAACATTGACATTAATTTAATTTAGAGAAATTTAAGAGAATTGTTTTACTTTTTGCACAATCTATGTACATCATGTTTACCTATTATAACCATAGGAATTTTTAAATTATAAAATATTGTTAGGATCTGATACCTCAAACTACTTTGAATAACAAAGTCTCTCTGTTAATTAACAGTGAGATAATTCCACTTTCGGAACTAAGCCAAATAGGCATTTTTTTAGCTCAAAGAAACAGATCCTTTTCTCTAACACAAGGTGAAGTTGAGGCTTTCTTTCTTGTTCTCTTGAAATGGCTTGAGATGCATAAACTGTATAACTAAAGGTACTCTGTTGTTTCTGTCTCCCATCCCCTCAGATACTTACAGATACTGTAAAGTCAGCAGAATTCTGAGTTTACAGGTTGCTTCAGTGAACATTCAACGCTGTCGGTGAGTTTGGAATTAAAATCAAAACCATCGACCGTTGATTGTACCCTATGGCTAACCATCGTCTACTCCGTGGCTTTCAGAATTTGCTGAAGACAGGAAACCAAAGCAGAAAACACCAGGACTTTCTCTCCCCTGTGCAGAGATAACTTTTTAAAAGGTCACAATCAACATTCATTGCTGTCGGTGGGTTGAACTGTGTGGACAAGCTCACTGAACAATGAATGCAACTGTGGCCCCGCTTTTTGCTGTCGCAATCAACAGACAGTCCATCTCTGAAAGATGTATTGAACACAATAATATTGTGCTTTACTTTAACTGTCCCAGTCTGGCAAAGTCTTCAGGTTCATTCATTCAATGAAAAAGTTGTTAAGTTTAAATGAGAGTGGTACTTCTCTACACTTCTGAATAGTATAAATAGAGCACTTTTTATAAAAGGTAAACTGTTTTGTCCATGGAATCTATAACATAAGCACCCTAGGGTAACACACCTTCCTGCTGTTGTAGGGTGGTGCAAAGAAAACACGAAGAAGTTCCTCAGCACCCACGCCACTGCCACCCACGTCCTTACAGCAGCAGCAGCAGCAACACCACAGAAAATATTTGATCCTTACATCTTCTGTTAGATTTCCTGGGCCGATTGGGATAGAAACTCCAGGTGATTTTATCCTTCTGCTTCTCTGGGTGAAAACTCATTCAAATAATATTGCCTCTTGCTATGGAATTTGCTAAGGAAGGAAAAAATATATATAAACAACCATGTAACTCTCAGAACACTTACGATATAAAGTCATATAATAGATTGACTTCTCTAATTATATTTTAATTTTAAGATGAAATTTTACACATTTTCTTGGTGTTTCTCCTTCTAAGAACTTGATCTGCATTGTTAGACTTAATAACCATATGGCATTAATCGCTTCATACTTACTCACCTGAATTTTCAATTAAAAGGATGTGTATATCATTGTGTTTCTTAACTAGTTTGGCTATATATTTTTATACAGGACATTTGTCAGTGAATTTGATCACAGCTGTTTTAAGTTTACCAGTTGTAGTGATAATAATGGTGATATTATTATTTACTGGAACAAAATGCTTCTAGAGTGTATATGGTTGGAGTACCTGGAATGCTTCAATGTTTATTTTTTAAAATCCATCGAATACATGATTGTTTCCATTTCTTGACTTCTTCAGTTCCATTTACCTTCAACTCCCATTGCACAAGCCCATTCCTTGGACCCTGCTCTAGATCTCGGCATAACTCCAAAGTATATCACCACATCCAGTGTCTAAACTATCATATCCCAGTCTCTGCCCTTCACCGCCTACCAGTCCAATTCCTCATTCTTTTATCCTAAAGGCAACTGTCCTTTCAGCTTCAGGGTTGCTGAAAAGAAAAACCACGGTTATGGGGATGCACGTGAGTTCATATGCACGGGCCTCCAAATGCCTTGATTCCTCACTTCCGACCTCGCATTTCTTCCACCCCACTCCCTGGCAGTCAGCCCAAATGTCTACCTCTTTCCTACTGCTCCTCCCCACCGTTCCACTTGCAATAATTGAATTGACCCCTTTTCACTGAGAAGCTTCCGTCCATCCCATTACTCCTACACTTCCTCGTGGGCTCCCCCCCGGGCATCTCCTCCCAGCGCTTCCTCCGTGATCTCCCTCCCCTGTCTCACCACAGGGCTCTTTCCATTTAGCATGCGAGGCTCAGTCCTCTCTTCTCAAACTGAAAACAAAACAACAACAAAAGGAAACAAAGATCTCCTGTGTACTTGCTTCATCTTCTGCTATTCATTCCATTTCTTTCCTTCTCTTTAAAAGCTAAGATTTTGGAAATAGCATGTGATAGCCTGCAGCACTGTCTGTGTGTGCTGATTTCCCCTTTCACCTCAACTACCAGTAATTCAGCTTCTTCTGTCATTCCTCTCTCCCACTTGTGCATAACATCATTTTACTGAAGCTGCTCTTGACCAAGTCATCAGTGAGCTCCATATTGGCAAATAGAAGTCACACTCCTCTGCCAGTTATCTTAGTGGAAGTCCCTTCGATGTCTGACACTACTGATTATGTCTTCCCAAACTACTGTCCCCATGAACTTTTATGACCCTACTTTCATTTGGACGGACGTCTTTATAACAGTGATTTTCTTTCTTCTTTTCTTTTTTTCTTTCTTTTTTTTTTTTTTTTTCTTTAGAAGCTCTTCTTAATCTACTTAATCTCTCAATGGCAGTATCCTCGGGAGGCACATCCTTGGCCTTCTGGCTTTCTTTTCTTCTCACGCCTCATAGTTTTTGAAGAAATCTCAGGCACACGCATGACGTTTATGTCTGCTCAGATGTGGTTGATACTCAACTCCTGATCCCCAGGTTGCGAATCCCAAGCTTGCATATCTAATTGTCTTCTACACTTCCCATCGACACAAGCCCATCCATGGCCACAGCTAACTCATGATCTTCTCCCCGAGAGATAACACCGCTGGATCTACTTAACAACCAGAACCATAAATCTTGAAAGTCATCTGCTGCTGCTGCCCCTTGCTTTCTGCCCTTTCCTGCACATATAATCACCAAGTCCTAGTAATGTTCACTTTTTATTATCCTGCTAAGATTTCCATTTTTCTGTATAGTTCTACTCCTGTAGTTCAGAAATGTATACTTCTTACTTGGACTAATCCAGGAGTCTCCTGACTAACTCCCTGTCTGCCATCAGCCATCTGTTCAATATTTTCTCCACAGTATTTGCAAAAGTATTTTTAGAGATCTAATCACATTGTGGAACCCTGAATACAATTTCCTAATATGTTTAATAGATAAATTGTTCTGGTGGGAAAAATGTGAGTATTAGCTAATTGGGAAGAAATAAAATTTTATCTGGAACTTCACATAATCTCTAAAGATTTATTTCAGTTCATTAAGGAATTAAAAGCAATTTAAATTTTTTTCTAAAATAAATGTATTTGAAGATTGATCTTGAAATGGTGAAAAACTTTTAAATATTATCACAATCAAAGAAAAAAATGAAAAGGACTGGAGGATTTGATGACATTAAACTTCAAACTATAGTGTGTCAAAAGTAACCATGTAATGAATAAAAAAGATGGCCAAATGGGAAAAAAATATGAACAATAAATAAGATAAGTGATTGGTACACATAAATAAAAAATTCAAATATTTTCATGACAGAAAAAATGGTGAGAAAGAAAATTAACAACTCAAGAGATTATCATGAACACAACAGTCACAGAAGAAATGCAATAAATGATGCGCATTTGATGTAAAATTCTGCTTCACTCATGAAAATTCAAATTTAAAACAATGAGATGTAATTTATCTTTAGTAAAGCTATCTGATAAGGAAAATGGCAGAGATCTAGTGATGCTGACGTGAATGTTCTCGTAGCACACTGGGCATAATTGCTTCTGTTTTCTGCTGCTGCCCACTTCCAGACTTGATCTTTCTTCCTTTTTCATCTTCCTTCCACAACTCTCCTGGCTGTGGCTGATTGGACCAGGTGTACATACCTGTTCCAGGAGGAACAAATCCATAGGCTTGGCTGATACTTTTATATTTTTTCACTCTTAGGAATTTAAACTAAAATACATTAAAGCCTTCAGGAGGTAGTAGGTGTGTACAAGATGTATATGTCATGAAAATTTGAGACGGATTGACATTTCAGTTTGTTTATATGTCAGTAAACCAAATGTAGAAGGTGATTAGCTAGAGCAGCAATAAGAAGCAGGGTTAAGGTATTTTGCAATTTCCTGAGAGAGAGAGATAAAGTAGCTTTAGTCCCAAAAGTACCAGGTCCAGAATGTATTTTCCCAGATATATTTGCTCTGTTTTTTGATGTCTGCTTTGGATGTCTGAGAGTTTGTTGTCTTGGAATAAAGCCTATTTTATTTGTTAGCTAAGACTGGTGTTTGTTCTTTGCCTTCAGGAACATACAATGTTTGTAAGAATATGAACCAATATAAACTTTATGGAAATAATTTGGCATTATTTATTAAGAATTTTAAGTGTTTGTAAAATTTGAGTCCATAATTCCGTTTCTAGGATTCGTATTTATTTTTAATTTTTAATTGAGAAATAACAATTGTGTATATTTATGGGGTCCAAAGTGATGTTTCGATCTATGTTTACATTGTAGAAAGATTACATCAAGCTAATTAACACATCCATCACCTCACCAACTTACCATGTTTTTATAGTGAGAACATTAAAAATTGATTCATTTATAGCAATTTTGAAATATACGATACATTAACATTGACTGTGGTCATGATGCAGTGCCATATACCACTAGAACCCATTTCTTCTGTCTTGTACCCTTCCATCAGCATCTCCCTTTTCCCCATCCTCTTCCTCCCTACCCCCAACTTCTGGTAACCACCTTCCTCTGTTTCTATGAAATTGACTCTTTTGGTTTCCATATATAAGTGAGATCATATAGTATTTGACAGAATTTCCTTCTTTTTTAGGACTGAATGGTATCTCATTGTTTATATATACCACATCTTCTTTATCCATTCATCCATTAATCGACAATTAGGTTGCTTCCATATCTTAGCTATTGTGAATAGTGCTGCAATAAACGTGCCAGTGCAGATACCTCATTGATATACTGATTTCAATTCTTTTGGATGTATATACAGAAGTGGGATTGCTGAATCATATGGTAGTTCTATTTTTAGCTTTTAAAAAAACCTCTACGCTATTTTCCAAAATTCCCACCAACATTGTACAAGGTTCTCTTTTCTCCACATCCTTGCCAACACTTACCAGTTGTCTTTTTGATAATAGCCATTGTAATAGGTGCAAGGTGTTTTCTCACATTGTGGTTTTAATTTGCATTTCCCTGGTGATTTTATATGTTTAGCATTTTTTCATGTATATGTTGGCCATTTTATGTTTCTTTTGAGAATGTCTGTTTATATCCTTTGCTCATTTTTAAAATGGGGTTATTTGTTTTCTTGCTATTGTCTTGAGTTTCTTATATATTTTGGATATTAAACCTCATAAGATGTATGGTTTGTAAATATTTTCTCTCAATTTGTGGGATGTCTCTTCGCTCTATTGTTTCCTTGGCTGTGCAAAAACTTTTTAGTTTAATGCAATCCCATTTTCTATTTCACTTTTGTTGTCTGTGCTTTTAGAATTCTATTCAAGAAATTATTGCCCAGACCTATGTCATGGAGATTTTCCCTGATTTCTTCTAGAAGTTTTACAGTTTCAGGTCTTGTATCTATCTTTTATTCATTTTGTGTTGATTTTTGTATATGGTGTGAGATAAGGGTCTAATTTCATTGTTTTGCATGCAGATATACAGTTAGGGTTAGGGTTAGGGTTAGACCATTTGTTAAAGAGACTCTCCTCTCCCCATTGTGTGTTTTGCACTTTTGTCAAAAGTCAGTTGACCATAAATATTTGGGTTTATTTCTGGGCTTTCTATCCTGTTCTATTGGTTGATATATCTGTTTTTATGCCAGTACCATGCTGTTTTGATTCCAATAGCTTTATACTATAGTTTGAAATTAGGGAGTTTGATGCTTTCTATTGTATGTATGTAAGTAGGTATATATGTATGAAGATATTCAAAGCAGCATTATTTTTAAAAATTTAATAATAAAAGCAAGCTACATTTCCAAAAATGGAGAGTGGGCAATGAATTATGACAAATATGACAAAAACAATGATAATAACCCAAAGATATTTTAATAAAAGGATAACTTGTTTATAAATAAGTACAAAGTTTTCAGAACTCAGACCAAGGGTTAAACCC